GTCAAGCCTCCGCCACCCCCCACCCCCCTGTGGATGCCTCATATACCCTGCTCCGGCTCAGGGAGGCGGCGGGGGTGCCTCTTCTAGCCTCCCCCGGGCCGCAGCGCCCTGGCGCTGGCCCGGGGAGGCAGCGACAGGCCTCCTCTGGCCTCCCCGGGGCCACAGTGTTCCGGTGCTGGGCCAGGGAAGCAGTGGGGAGCGTCTTCTGGTCTTCCTTGGGCCACAGCGCTCTAGGACTGGCCCAGGGAGGCGGCGACGGGCCTCCTCTGGCCTCCTCTGGGCCGCAGTGCTCCGGTGCTGGCCTGGGGAGGTGGCGACGGGCCTCCTCTGGCCTCCCTGGGGCTGCAGCGCTCCGGCACAGGCCCCGGGAAGGCACAACGGGCCTCCTCAGACCTCCATGGGGCCACAGCGCTCCGGCGCGGGCCCTGGCAAAACAGCAACGGGCCTCCCTGGGACTGCAGCGCTCTGGTGCGGGCCCCGGGAAGGCAGCAGTGGGTCTCTTTGGGCCTTCCTGGGGCTGCAGCACACTGGCACGGGCCCCAGGAAGGCAATGACGGGGCTCCCCGGGGCCGCAGCGCTCGCTCAGGTGCGGGCCCCGGGAAGGCGACAACGGGCTGCAGTGTGGGGAGCTGGGCGCGGGGCTTGCTGCCGCCACCATTTTGCCAACTCCTGGGCTCCCAGAGCGGTGCTCCGGCATGCTCCGGCCCCAAAAGACCCCTGGGTCCAGGAAGCAAACAGGGAGCGCTCCCTCTGAAAAAACCTCCCTCCCTTAAGCTCCTCCACCTGCTACTGAACTTAGCTCTCTTTTTCTCTTCTCTTTTGCCAGAGTCAACTGCATTACAACTGCTCTTTGCGAGGTGCCAATCCACACAATGATTCGAACAGTACCACGTGGTGCGACTGGAAGCCTTTTGGTGAGCCTTTTTTCTCTCACTGCACACTCCTCCAAGGTGTGCTGCAGACCATTCTTTGGACAGAGGGGTGGATTGGCTATTTAACCTTACCAGGAAAAGGTCCTGGGGGGTTGCTGTCCAGGAGAGCAGCAGATATCCAGGAACCAGCAGAGCCAAGGCCAGCGCTGCGGGAGTCGCTTGGCTCAAGATCTTCAGCAACAACAGTGTTTGTTGTCAGCTCAGCAGTCGCCTCCACCCACATCACCACGGGAGGCGATGAGTGAGTCGATGCCCATTGTTAGCGAAGGTTGGATCTGAGCCAAGTGGCCTCTGCTACGTTGGCTCAGATCACTCACCGCTGGGACCACTCAGCTTGGATCGTTCCTTGGGCTATTTGAACTTTCCGGTCCGCTTGGATGCTTGCTGCAATTTTATTGGTGTGAGACACTGATCGGAAGGCCATGGCCATATCTCTTTCCGTAGCCCTGTCTGACCCGAGTTCTTGTGGTTTTTTTTTTTAATTAACTGGTTGGATCCAGACCAGATGTTTCTGTGGGCGCAAGGATTTCTGCCCACGGAGCACAATTTTTCTGCCTCCCCATGCCCACAACCAATCGGTATTCGTGTGCTCTGATTGGCAGCAGCTCTCCAGGGTCTCAGGCAGAGGTCTTTCTGGGATTGGACCAGGGACCTTCTGCATGCTAAAAAAGGTGCTCTTTCACTGAATCACAGACCATCCCCAGAGCAGGCAACTATCAGACCACCAGTCTATCAAGGCCAGTGTTGTTTACTCTTAATTAGCAGCAGTTCTCCAGGGCCTCAGGAAGAGGGCTTTCACATCACCGATCACCTGATCCTTTGAACTGGAGATGCCCAGATGTGAACCTGGGACCTTTCTCATGTGAAGTAGATGCTCTGCCACTGAACCACAGTGATTAGGACAGGTGGGAAGTGTGGCTTTGACTGTATGCATGCATAATCATTCTTGCCCTTCATATTTATTTATTTATTATTTATTTATTTGGATTTATAGCCTACCCTCCCCGAAGGCTCAGGGCGGCTAACAGAGGCATAATGCCAAATAATAACAATAAAATAGTATAAATTACTAAAAATACAGAATAAAAAATTAAGTAAGATTCATAAAAATCATTTCGGTGCTCCCCTACTCACTTCCACATTTTAAAAACCAAGATGGTGTTCTCGATAGTATAGCTACACAACAACAGCAGTGCATATCACCACTGCCCTGTCGTTCCCTAGAAACGTCCTGCTCCCTCCGATGGTACCCGCACCAGCGGTGACAATGTGCGGAAATTATAGGGTGTTGATGGAACGGTGGCGGCGGCGGCTCCTATTTGAAAGCCTGGCGGAAGAGCTCCGTCTTACAGGCCCTGCGGAACTGTACAAGGTCCCACAGAGCCCGGATCTCCTCTGGGAGCTCGTTCCACCAGATAGGAGCCGCCACCGAAAACACCCTAGCCCTGGTCATCGCAAGTTTGATGGTCTTTGGGCCTGGAACATCCAGGAGATTTTGATTCCCCGACTGTAGTGCCCTTGGGGGAACATGCGGGGACTGGTCATAAATTTTAGTGACTGGTGTTTCCAAAATTCCCAGTACTTAGGAACGCAACAAAAATCCCATGCTACGTTTTGTTATCCATTAGACCAGATTTGCATTGTGAATTGATACAGGCATGTGTGAAAGAGACAAAATACTGTCTATCCGATGGTTCAGTTTGGAGCACTTGGTAGAGTTTCTGGGTCTGTCAGAAACGCCAGTGCGATGGGGGGGGGCATTCCAGGAGCTGGAAGTGATGTCACATGATGTGCCTACATCACCCAGAAGTGACATAGATATGCTGGTGATGTTGGGGGCAGTGTTCTGGTTTGGGCAAAACTCTATGGTAAAATCAGCCTCAAACCATAGAGTTTTGTCCCAACACCAAAGCGTCACCCCTGATGTCTCTGACATGCCCATGTCTCTTCCGGGTGACATAGGCATGTCTTGTTTATTTCCAGTGACACCACTGTTGTTGTTTTGCGGGGGGGTCCTCTTGACGGCCAGCTGGCCAGTGGCGGGCAGAAACCCACACAAGTAGTCAGTTTATCCCTCGCCCCCAACTGGGGAATGGCAGCCCTAGCACTTGGGCTGATGAAATGTAGCTAGTTCCGGTCTTTTTCATAGGGCGTTTAAATCTGTATTCAAAGATAGCCCAGTTTAACTTGAACTTGTTCAGAGCTTGCAAGCTAAGCAGGGTCTGCCATGGTCAGTACTTGGATGGAAAGACCACCAAGGAAGACAGGGGTTGCTATGCAGAGGAAGGCGATGGCAAACCACCTCTGCTCGTCTCTTGCCTGGCATGCCCCGTGGAATGGGGTTGCTGTGATTTGGTCGCAAGTGACCAGCGTGTTCTTCTTCTTCCATCTGTTATTGCTCCCATGTGAAAGGTTACAGAGGTGCTGCTTTAACTTTCCAGCTTTCCAGGAACTTCCCACCCACTTTCCAAGAACGCAAGAAGCTGTAGGCCTCTTCCTAGAAGTTGTTCATGAGGTCTCCGTTAATTCATACTTAATAACAAAAATCGAATGCCTTGCGGGTCAAGAGTTTATTCTGGCATGATTAACAGCCTTACTTATCATGCCCTTGGATGTTTGCATTGTGGCTCTGAGCCTCATTAGCAGATTGGCCAACGGTTTGCTCCCACTTGCGCTGATTGGAAGCCATTAAGCACCACTATTTATCATTCACACGGCACTTTATTGGCATTCAGATGTGCCCTGCGGACTTTGGATTGGATCCCGCCTTACGTTTTGGCTAACAGAAGAGGAGGGGGTTGTTTTCGCCAATCTCCCCTCTGCTGCTGCATACCTCCAACCCCCCTTGGGGCTGTTTGGGGGCCCTCTCTTCTCCCCAGCAGCAGCATTTTGGACCTCAGCAAGGAGGTGATCTAGGCTTGCCACGTCTCACCTCGATCCCAGCAGGGGGCTCCAGTCCGGCTCCCAAAAGTGACGTCATTGCACTGGGCACATCGTTCGGAGGACACTCTAGCATTCCAGTTAAAAACTCTTTACCCGCATGCTAGAGCGTCCACTACACAGCATGCCTGGCATAGTGACATCACCTCCTGGTGACATCATTGCGCCGGGCACGTCAGGCATGCCGGTACGATATGGGGGCGGGGCTCCCGCAGCTGGCTGATGGCGGATTGGGGGCCCTGAAACTGGGGGGAAACCCGCCCCCATCGGGAGGCTGGCAAGCCTAAGGCGATCCCTCCACCAGTGGTAGTTTTTGTTGGGATCCAAGCTACAATATATGGAGCTGCGGTGGCTCAAGTCGTTAAGACGCTAAACTGCAGGCTGTGGAAGGTCAGTAGTTCAGCAGTTCGAGACCCGGGTGCCGCATGATGGAGAGAGCTCCCGTCTCTAGTTCCAGCTCCTGCCAACCTAGCAGTTCGAAAGCAAGAAATTGCAAGTAGATAAATAGGTACCACTTCAGTGGGAAGGTAACAGCGTTCCGTGCCCCTTGGTGTTTAGTCATGCCGGCCACATGACCACGGAAACGTCTTCGGACAGCGCTGGCTCTTTGGGTTTGAAACGGAGATGAGCACCGCAACCCTAGAGTCGGATTCGACTGGCTTTCGAGCAAGGGAACCTTTACCTTTACCTTTAAGCTACAATATTGATCTTCATCATAATCACCCAGTCAGATAGGACCTGATAATTTGTATTTTTTAAAAGAGAAACATTAAGAATGGAGATAGTCTTTTAAAATACACACCCAAGACCCCCCCACACCGTCCGCGAGGGTGGTACCGCTTTGGAGTGGAGGTGGGAGAGCACTGTGTAGAAGCTCCTCAGAGTTCAGGTTCTTGTGGTAAAGATTCGCTTTAGAGAATGAGAAAAGCGCTGAAATTTTTAAAAAGTGCAGTAGCAGATACCAGGACAGGCACTGGCTGTGACCGATGAGCTGTCGGGGGCCGTTCCCAAGATGTGTTCTTCTTAGGGGACGGGCTGTGGCTTAGTGGCAGAGCAACTGCTTGGCATGCAGAAGGTCCCAGATTTAATCTCCTGCATCATCAGGTAGGAGGTGCTTTGAAAGATGTCTGCCTGAGAACCCGTAGAGCGGCTGCCAACTGGGCTTGATCAGTGGTCTGATTCGGTGTAAAACAGCTTCATATGTTCCTATGAAGAGCCACTTGCTTTGATACACGTGCTGGCGAGAATAGGATATCCCTGCTGTTCCATGGCATGCTTTCCATGCCCTGAGTATCACTTGTGCTGTTCTTTTTTTTTCAGATCAGGACAACTATAAAGAACTCTTTGGAGCCCTGGATAATGCCTTCCTGGTCGCCTATGCTATTGGAATGTATATCAGGTATGTATTTAAAATGCAGGAAGGAAAAGCACATCCGTCTGTCTCCTACTGGGCTTCTGTTGTAGGTCTGTAGGGCTGACTCTGTATCAGGCAGCCTTCTGTTTGGTGTAGTGGTTAAGTGTGCGGACTCTAATCTGGGAGAACCGGGTTTGATTCCCCACTCCTCCACTTGCAGCTGCTGATGTGACCTTGGGTCAGACACAAGCTTTGGCACAGCTGTCCTTGAAAAAGAGCAGTTTGTGTCAGAGTTCTCTCAGCCCCACCCACCTCACAGGGTGTCTGTTGTGGGGAGGGGAAGGGAAAGGAGTTTGTGAGCCGCTCTGAGACTCCAAGTGAAGGGCGGGGTATAAATCCAATCTCTTCTCTTCTCTTCTCTACATCCTCTGGCAGCAAATCCCACATTCTAATCACTCTCTGTGTAAAGTAGTATTTCTTTTTGTCCATCCTGAACCTACTGCACATCAGCTTCATTGGATGCCTTCGAAGTGGTGAGCGAGCGATTTGGCTGCTGCATAAATTAGTTTGCTCTGGAGCCATCCCTCCTTCCTGAGCTAAGACAAAAATGTGTGAATCAGAGGCTAAAAAACTGTGAGCTAGCTCACACTAACTCAGCTTAGAGGGAGCACTGGTTCTGAGGATAAAAAGATGTTTGCCTTTGGTTCCCTGGGCTCAGTTGTGATTTGCAGGGGAGGGTCAATGCTCTCTTCATTGTTAAACACATGGACTTAGGGTGGGCATTGATAACTAACTGCAGTATGCGTTAAGGTGCTGGTATCTGTCCCGCCGTCGGGACTCCCGGCTCCCCCATGCTGCCCACAGCAACCCCCCCCTTCAGTCCTCTGCCGCTTTCCTGGGGCCCTTGGGGGGGGGGGCCAGGAACAAGCAGCCAAAGACGACCAGCTCGGCTGGGAAGACGCCGACGCCGGCCCACGTGCTTTCCCCGGGTGGCGACAGCAACAGCTGACAGGAGCATGCCCACCCACGCCAAAACGGTTGGCATTCTCGATTATGTAGGGGGGGCGGGGCTGGGAGGCAGGGAGGGTGGAGGGGGAGCGCAGGGAACACTGGGGAAGAGGGGAGAAGGAATAAAAGCAGGGCAGCAACAGGGGGCCGGGGATGACGACCTGGACTGAATAAGGCTACCCCCCAGAGAGAACTGGAAAGCCAGCCAGCCAGAAGGAGCCGGTCGGCAGGGGTGTTGATGCAACCCCTCCTCCCCTGTTCAGGTGTCTGAGGCCCCTGCTGCCCTGAGAGGCAGGACACCAAGGTGGCGGAGAGGGCGGAGTTGAACGGATCCAGTAGCAGTGGGGAGGAGTCATCAGGATCTTGTGACAGGATCTAATTCACTTCTGCATCCTGTAGTGGTGGTGAGGCCTCGCACCTTAGCCCACGCAGCAAAAACAGTACAATAACACAGCAAATAGCGCAATAAAAACTGGATTACAAAGAACTGAAATAATGAAAATACAAAATGAAATGAAAACAATATAGTCATTCAATATACATAAACCTGCCTAAGTGCTTTCATAGACATTGGAGCTACAAACCAATCACTTTATAATAAGTGCCCTTCTAAACAATGGTTTTACACATTCTACAGAATGATAAAATTGGGAGTAAAAGAGTGGGAGATAGGTGAGCTACGGTGGTTAAAAAGGGGCCTCCGTGTTTAGACACTGTGAACAGACAACACTGAGAGACCCTTGATGATCACATTCGGCCTGTGAGTAGGGTTGCCAAGTTGTTCTGACTCACCGGCGGGGGAGTGATGATTCAGTCCGGGAGTTGTTGAAGGACGCGCGCATGCGCTGCCAGAACGTCACAGGAAGTGACGCACGATGTAGAGCACGTTGGGGGCATGGCCCAGATCGTTGGGGGGGAAACCATATGGTTTTCCCCCCGACGATCTGGGCCATGCCCCCAATGTGAGCAACGTGGCTACATCACCTCTGGTGACGCAGCTTCGGGGGGCGGAGTTCCCCCCGGGGCCCGATTCCGCCGCGGCGGAAATTGGGCCTCCAAAGCGGGGGTTTCCCCGCCCCCACTTGGCAGCCCTACCTGTGAGCTTTTGGGGGTCCTCTTCTTGGCCTCCTTAAGAGTCAGAAGGCTGGGCCTAGACAGACAGCAGTGAGATGGAGCCAGGTCTTTCTGACGTTCCAAATCGTATTGTCTCTTTCCATGATGTTCACCATTTGACTTGGTTTCCTTTCACTCGTCATCTCAAGCATGATTGACCAGTGCTGCCGTTTGTCATGGAGCATCTTGCCGCCTGGTGGGCCATCGTGAGCTTCAAGGCCCCACAGAACAGTTTTCCCATCCCAACAATTAGAAAACCCTCCAAAATCTTTCCGCAGGGCTTGTAAGGCAGAGATGTTCCACCAGGCTTTCGACTGAGGACAGCGACTGCGTAATTCTGTGACCTGGCACCCTCATACCCCTCTTAACCCCTGTGTTTTCCTCTCCCATCTATTACAAGTCTCTTCTGGGAGGTCTGCAATGTGCCATACCAGGAATTCCGACTGTTGGCCATCTTGGAATTGATCATTTTAAAATTAAGGACTGTGGTTTTTCTTGTTGGTTTACATTTTTTAAAAACTTGCATATTTATTGTATATCCCTGTTATAAGCCGCCCTGAGCCCTGCCTGCAGGGGAGGGCGGCCTAGAAATCTAATTAATAAATAATGAAATAAAAACATCAAATAACCCCAGAGGTGCTCTTAGAACAAATCCATCAGGTTTGATTACCTTGACGTGCGGTATCAGGAGTCAGCCCCACCGGAAGGCAATCAAGTCGCTTATAAATCATTCAGAGAACAGTGCAAAGATACCCCCCCCTCCAAGAATCCCGCCATAACTGCAGTTTCATAACAGCAGCAGTTGGATAAGAAATCTGCTAATGGAGGGCTTGAGATGTCAACAAGGTTGTTGCTTAAATGATGGATTCTGTTTGCTAAGGCTAAAGGAAGCCCATATCGGGATTTTTCTCACCTAAGTAGTTGTTAATGATCCCCACTGGGTTATTTCCAAGGCAGCGTGTATGCAGGAACACAAAGAAGTAAAGATTTAACAGTTTAGCAGAGACTTCAGCCTCTGAAAATCTCAGTTTGGGAATGGCGAGCGTCTAGGCCTCGTGACTGTAAAGATATTTGGTGGGGGAATAAGTGGTGAATTGTGTACTGAGAGGTGGCAGGATGAGGTTTCTGGATAGAGAGCTCCAGGGCCCCACAAAACAGTTTGCCCATTCCAACAATTAGAAAACCCTCAGAATCTGTTGTGTGAAACTTGCCAGATCCATTATGCAAAATATGTTTTTGGGAGTAGGTTCAGGGCAGGCAGAACAAACTCCATCTCTATGCTATGGTTGGTTAGCCAGATGGTGAGGTCCCTCCCCTCCCCAAACCCCACCCCCCCAGGCTCCACCCCCAAATCCTCGGGAATTTCCTAGCCCAGATTTGACGGCCCTGAATGACACTGGAACCATCGTTGCCTTGTTGCATTTGTTCTGTTTGGAAGTCAGTCTTCGAGCTGTTAAGTTTAATGCTGTTTCTCCCCCCTCTTGTGCAGCGGGATTTTTGGTGAACGCCTCCCCTTGCGCTACTACCTCTCTGCGGGGATGCTGCTGAGTGGATTATTCACTGCCTTATTTGGACTGGGGTACTTCTGGCAAATCCATTACCTTTGGTACTTTGTCATCATACAGGTATGGAAATTCATTGCGCATGGCGATTCATACACACAAGGAGAATTCACATGAGAATCATCTTGTGAGTCGCATAGTTCATTAGCTAGGGAGGGAATGGCCACTGGACATCTCAAGGTCTCGCAGCTCTTAAAATAATATAGATTGGAGCTCAAGCTTGCCATTCTGAATCCAGTATAAGACTTTTACACGAATCATGTCCCTAACTTTGTACCTCAGTTTCCTCATCCGTACAATGGCCAAGGCAGGGACTTGTTTAATTTGACTTATGGTGTGCTGTAAACAGCCGTGTACAGTGATTATGCGGTTGATAGGATATGAATGTGTCTCAACAAGGGACTTTTAAGGCAAGTGAACAAGTGTGTGCCATCAAGGCAAATATGTGCCCACAAGTCTCAGCAAGGGGCTTTCAAGGCAAGTGAGAAGCAGAGGTGGTTTTGCCAATGCCTTCCTCTGCAGTTTTCCTTAGTGGTCCCCCATTCAAGTACCAACCCTGAATAGCTTCCAAGATCTTTATAGCTTCCAAGGTCTTTATACCATACCATTCCAAATCCCATGTCAATAGAATACCATCTTCCTAATACAAAGTTGCTTGAATCTAGCCTGTAGTTTCTGAACTGCCTTTGCCTGAGATCCAGATACCAAGTCTGCCTCCTCTGACCTTCCTTCGTCATTGATTTGTGCTGTTATCTCATGAGATGGGGCATATGGATGTTGTTTTCCTGAGCCATTTGCCTCCTGATGGGAAAACCCATTTCTGATGTTAGCAGTCACATGCATGGTGAGGCTGGGCAAACAGAAGCCAGATATAATTAGCCACTGGAATAGAGAAGGACGCAGTAAACGTTTCCAGCGCAGCTGTGTCGGTCTAAATGAGACACCTCAGTCCAACGAGAGCTTATTGAGTCTGAGGCAGGGATTATTGGATAGGATGATTCTGTTTTTGGTCCGAGTGCCACAGTCACAAGTTTATAACCATCTGTGATTCAGTGAGATGCTGCCAAAGTACCACGCTGTTTTTGAGTACACAAATGGCTTCTGTTTGAACTAGGCCTTTCCCCATTTGGCTGCTCTCTCCTTTTTCCCTTAAAAGGTTATATCCCACTTCTCAAGGCTCATTGAATTTGCAACGTTTCAAAATATAATTTTAACACTTTAAACACACAAACATGCAACGGTTTCCATTATTTTAGCCCTACCTGTAGGGTAAGCGCTTTCCAACATCTCGTAGCCTATGCTTTCCCCATAGTTCTGTGACCAGCATCGCCTTGTCTGGATTCAGCTTCAGTTTATTTCCCCTTAGCATCCAAGTAACAACCTACAACAGAGACAGCTGCTTCTGGGAGCTTAGTTAATGAAATACAGACCTGGCAGAGAAATCCCGTGGAAAGCTACTCCAGACTAAATCTACCCATGGACTTAGACTGGACTAAGTCTGCACTGAGATGGACTGATACAGTAAAGGAAGCCATGACACTCAGCTTGCAAAACCTGAGCAAGGTAGTTAACAATAGGATGTTTTGGAGGTCATTAATTCATAGGGGAGGGGAAGGGAAGGTGGCATGGTATACTCTGATCTCGTCAGGTCTTAAAAGCTAAGCAGGGTCATTACCTGGAAGGGAGACCACGAAGGAAGGCTGTGCAGAGAAAGGCCATGGCAAGCCGCCTCTGCTTCTCACTTGCCTTGAAAGGCCCTTGCAAGTCAGCTGCGACTTTACACACACGCACGACTCTGCATAGGATTGCAATGTTGGTCAATTAAACTGGTTAAAACTCACACGTTATTCAGTTTAGAAAGCAGTTCTAAGCTCTCTAAGCATATTTACTTAGAAGTAAGTCCTATTTTGTTTAATGGGACTGCTACAATTACAATGTTCCCTCTAAGATGAGTTAGTGTGAGCTAGCTCACAGTTTTTTAACCTCCGGCTCACACATTTTTGTTTTAGCTCAGGAGGGATGGTTCCAGAGCAAACTAATTTATGCAGCAGCCAAGCTGCTTGCTCACAACTTTAATACCAGGAGTTCACAAAGTAGAATTTTTGCTCACAAGACTCCGCAGCTTAGAGGGAGCATTGGCTACAAATAGGGAAGTGTATTTAGGATTGCCCTGTTAGGTTTCTTTAATCGGTGACAGTTTAGTGGCTGTTGTTTTTTAACTCCTTTCAGAGCTACACACCAAAAGGGCTTTGAAATGTAAACAAAACCTTCTGTTTACACCTGCCCAATTAAAATTTGCCCCCATGGATTGATTAATTAAGGATTTGCCTGATTATCCAACCGATAACACTAGTTTAAAACATGCAGTCTTGCAAATCATCTCTTCAGTGCTTTGACAAATGCTTGTGTTTTCACCAAGCTCCTGCTACGTCCTTGGATAACTCCAGTGAGTCATCCCATAATGAGTTCTGCAGTTTTATATTGTTTTGTCGCAAAGGCGTGGGCTTGGCCTTGCTGCCTCTGAACATGAAACCTGCAGCAGATCCTTATCAGGAAGTGGGGCTGGTACAATCCTTGCTTTTGAAAATCCCCAGGTATCCCAAAGTCTTCTGAGGTTGGGATTAAAATGCCCAGGGGAGGTGGCCTCTTTTGCCTTCACTGACAGAAATAGCTGGACGGTGACCAATGAATAACCATTCTAGGGCTGCACCCACATATCTTTGGGTATTGCACTATCATTGCATGAGAGCAGTCATTTGCAAATGGTTTGTTTAGTCCGTACAGGAAAATCCAGTCGTGAATGATTTCTGTAGAGCAACAATAGCACAGTATCCAGCCAAATGTGGATGGGTCCAGGAGAACATTGTCCTTGGGCGTTCTTCCTGTATCCCGTCCCCTCGGATCTATTGCAAGGCCAATACGTCCTCATTGACATCATGGAACTCACAACAGTTGTACGTGGGGTTTCTAGGAACTTCACCAAAGTTGCCGCATGACATACCTCCAGGGCAGCACAAGTAACTGTGGTCAGTCACTACCCTTTGCACCAACCCTGAACAGAAAGGTGTCTCTGGGTTTCCTCCAATTCTAGGGTTTCCTCTCTGCTTCAGGTCATGAGTCTTCCCATCATAGCCACTGTGCTGTGTAACGACACGGCTATTTTTGTCGCTGGTTGGGCAAAGAGCCTCCTTGCTTGTCCAGTCTGCTTCCCCCACCTGAAACTGCTTCGGTGGAAAGTCATGCTTATCTTCCCTCCCACACTTTCATGGATCTGGTTTCCAAACTGGCTTTGGGAAGTAGGTCAGGTTCATTAACCCAAATTTTCCTCATGGGGAAATCTGGAGCATGATGAATGACGCAGAAGCCCTTGTGCCATGCAAGTAGGCTATACTGGTGCAGGAAACAGGTACCTTCGGCTCTCCTGATTAATAAACAATGAGTAATGGGAAGATATTTGTTTGCACCTATGTGGATTTGTTTGGGATGTTTGCGGCCAGTAAGCAAGGCCCGCTTAGAATGGAATCCCAGAAAGCCATGCGAGAGGTGGCGCTTCAGGTGCCCATTCTGTACTCAATGCGATGCAGCGGCTGGGCATCCCCTCCATCTTGGCCCCGAGTGGCACAGGATGGTGCCAAAAGTGAGGCTTTGGAGCCAGAAGATGAAGCCTCATTCTCACTGTGCCGGTCACCTATTTGGCAAACCTGGAGAATCTGGCTGTGGTCACACACACTAAATAATCCACTTTCAATCTACTTTCAATGCACTTTCTAACTGGATTTTGCCAGTTCACACAGTAAGGCTCTGAAGCTTAGATATATTAGAACCACCTTCTCCAGAACCACCTGTACGTGTAGCTCATTGTCAGCGGTTTGTATCAATCTACCTGTACGTGTAGCTCATTGTCAGCGGTTCTGCTTCATGTTCCCCACCATCATTCTTGGTGGCGATGCCAAGATTATGGAATTCCCATCCTAGAGAGGTTCACTCTGCTCCATCTTGCTTGGCTTTTGGGCAGCTGGCCAAAACAGTGCTTTCCCAGAAAGTAAAATTGAGGCATAAATGGGACACATTAGCAAAACACACACACACACACACACACACAGAGCTGTTTCGCAGATGTTTCAGTGTCATCTGCACAGTACTGAAGGCCTTCCTTTCACTGCCATCCTAGCTGTTCTTTCTCCTTTGGGGTGTGGCTAAAAATACCATCCCCTGCAGAAATAGGTCGCCAAGATGATTCTCAGCAACTAGGTATTGTTCATCTCTGTAGAAAGGGGTTTCTTCCTCCGAGGAGGCACAATGGACGGGTACCTGGCTGTTTCCTTCCATCCCTCAGCCTCAAAAGTGAAAGTAGAAAGGGATCCCCCCCCCTTTCTGCTGGGCCTCTTGGTTGTTGTTGGTGTGTTGTTGTGTTCATTCAAAAGGATTTGTTCTTATGCTTTTCTTGGGGGCTTCCTTGGCCAAAAAGCCAGATGAAATGCTTCTAAGTAATAACGAAATCAATGTCTACCCAAGTCATTTCAAATACAGCTGAACTTTGATGGCTCCCACCAGGGCTATTTTTGGGCAGGAACGCACAGGAACGGAGTTTCGGCTGGCTCCCAAGTTGGCCACGCCCAGCAGGAACTCATTAGCATAATAGGCCACACCCAACAGCAGAAATCCATTAGGATTGGCTTCATTAGGGGTGTGTGGCCTAACATGCAAAGGAGCTCCTGCTACAAAAAAAGCCCGTTTTGACCGCAAACAAGGTAAACAGAATAACAAGCAAAAGGTGGGTGTGGCTGGATAACCAAATTTCTGGGAACATGGGGGTGCGTCCTAATGTGCTAATGAGCTGTGCTGGCAGGGGTGTGGCCTACTATGCTAATGAGTTTCTGCTGTTGGGTGTGGCCTATTATGCGAATGAGTTCCTGCTGGGCTTTTTCTACAAAAAGAGCCCTGGCTCCCACACAAGGCATCCTGGGAACCTCAATAGATTGAAAGCTAGACTGGGACCCAGAAGGGAGACCAAAGTTCCATACTCTGCTTAGCCCTAGCTGATCGTGGACTAATCCTGGCCACACATCCTGGCTTACCTCATAGGGTTGTCACCATGGCCATGTACAATCTCCTGAACTCTTTGGAGGCAGGGTGGGAAAAAACTGTATTAAAAGGAAAATTTTAAAAATGAGTCGTCCTGGGAAGGGATGAGGAATTTCTGCAATAGAATTCTCAGACTTCTAAATTAAAATTCTTGGTGAGAGTCTGTTTTGAAATTGATTCTACAGTGTGTAGCCTGGATGTGGTTTAGAGCTCTTTTGCTGTTCTTTTTTGGGGAGGGGAGGGGATAGGGTTGCCAAATCTTTTAAACTTACCAGCAGGGGAGGCTCCGTCCCGTCCGGGAGCAGGCTGGTTGTGTGTGCGCGCCGCCGTGGCGTCACCGGAAGTGACGTCAGACGTTGCTGACGTTGGGGGCGTGGCCGAGCTCGTCGGGGGGGAAACATATGGTCCCCCCCACGAGCTCAGCCACGCCCCCAACGTCAGCAACGTGGCTGCGTCACCTCCGGTGATGCAGCTTCGGGGGCGGGGTTCCCCCCGGGCTCCGATTCCGCCAGGGCGGAAATCAGGGCTCCGAAGCGGGGGGTTCCCCACCCCCCAGGCACATTTGGCAACCCTAGGAGGGGATAACAATCGGCAACCTGTTGGTGAAAGGAGTGGGGGTGAAAGGAGTGGGGGGGAAGAGAGCTGACCCTGGGAATGTGCCACCAAAATAAAAACAGGTCTGCAAGGCAGCGTGACGTCATGCCGTGCCGCAGCCTCACAACTGGTTGTCTTTTCTCGCCCTCCCTCTCTGCTAGGTCTGCAACGGTCTGGTGCAAACCACCGGCTGGCCATCCGTCGTGACGTGCGTCGGCAACTGGTTCGGAAAGGGGAAGTGAGTCTGTTTTGCTTGTCTGGCCAAATGTGTTTCTCAAGCATCAGTTGCTTCATCCTCATCTCTGGACGAAGAGCCTGATGGATTTCCTTGCTGAGACAGGAAACCTAGCCATAGGCGGAAGTGGGCCTATGGTCTGATTCATTAAAGGCACCGCCAGATCCATAGCTAGAAATCTGAGGACTGGGGGGGGGGGGGGGGGGGGAGGGACAAAACGCGGGGGGGGAGCAAATCAATGCATATCAAGTGTTTGCTGCATTTGTATCCTGCTTCTCTTCCCCGTGTAAACTCAAAGTGGCTTATATCCTCCTCCTCTCCTCTCCTCACAACAGCCCTGTGAGGCAGGTTAGGCTTGGAGTGTGACTGGCCCAGGGTCACCCAGCAAGCTTCCCTGGCAGACTGGGGACTCGAACCTGGGTCTCCCAGATCCTAGTCCAGTACTTCAACTGCGACAGCAGGCTGGCTGAACATTTGGGGAGAATTCTGCCTGCAGGCTTCTCCTTCAGTCTCCACAAGTAAAAGGTCTAAAGGTCTTACTTTATACCAAAAAATGGTAACTGAAAATTCAGAGAAGGGGTTTGGATCATTCCTGAGGGGGCCAGACATCCTCAAAGCCCCCTCTGGCGGCAGCCCTATAAGGTACTCTCGTGTGTTTAGATACCATGGCAGAGATACAAGCCCTACAGTTAGAGTTTGATCTAATACGGAGAGCTAGTGTGGTGCAGCATTTGAGCTAGGCCTGGGGAGACCCAGGTTTATATCCCTGTTTGTCGTGAATACTCTTGGAATGATGCCGGGACAATCACTCTGTGCCAGGCCTGACCTACTTCGGGTTGTTTTGTTGATAAAACAGATGAACAGAGAGCACCTGTGTATGCCGTCCTGTGCTCCGTGGAGGAAGGGTGGGATAAAAATTTATTTGATAAATAAATAAAATTACATAATCACTTACTGTCTTTGATATGGACTGTAGGTGTAATAACAGTCCTACCCAGTATGGACGTCCTCTGTACCAAAAGATTATTGCTTGTAAAACATATTTAGTTTGTTTAACTTGTACTGGAATGTTTCTGCAAAGAGTGTATGGACAAATGGAGCCGCCAAACGATAAGCCACAGCATAGATGTCTTTTGCTTGGTGCCGTCTGCTCCGACTGGCAGCAGCTCTCTGCGTTCCCAGGCAAAGCCCTCTCCCCGTGCTGGCTGGCAAAGTCCTTTTGACCTGGAGATGCCCCGCACTGAACTTGTGCCCTTCATCACACACAAACCTGTGTTCTGCTTATGCAGCAATAACCTCTCCCAAATGTAAGCAGCAATGGGCAGACCTCACCTGCTGACCTTCAGCCTTTGAAATGCATCGCATACCTTGAGACCGTTTTCTGGGTCTCCTTGTAAAATCCTCATTCAGGTATGTGAACTCAGCAGGAGACAGGTGACAGGTAGGGATGTGCATTCTGATCTTCTTGAACCGATAGTATATGCGGAAAAATACCTTGTTGGTATTTTCTGGGTATATTTCAGCATCCCAAAACTATCTGGGATTTTTCGGGAAAACCAGGGCGCTCTCCCTCCAAAAATCCCAGATATTTCCGGGAACCAAGAAGATCGGGAAAACAGCTGTGAGATGGGGAAAGTGCTACCCACCTATCAGCTGTCTCTCCCCTCCCTTCTTATGGAGCTCTTTCAACCAGCCTGGCTTTAAGGGACTGCAGAAAAAATTGGGGGAAACAGCGGAGAGGCGGGAGCCTCCACTCTGCTGTGTTTTGTGGCTTCGCTGCTCCTGGGTGTTTTTCCCATCTCAGGTCTGAATACTTTGCTGGTATTGGGATCTGGGATTTTTCAGAAACCCTGAAATTTTGGGGGGTCCAATAGACCTGAAGTGGGAAAAAAGTGGGGGGAAACTGCACACCCCTAGTGACAGGTTTTGCCTGCAGCTTCCTTCCCATCCTGCGCAGCTTCCATTTGTCGTGGAGAAAAGCACCCCTGAGCTCTCCTGACAGCTTCTTCCCTTCACCTTCAGCAGGGATCGGAAACTGCCAGACAGACACTCACTCCATTTTCTGTGCTTCCTGCAGTCTCACTCCTCTCCCAGGGAAGGGAGTGTGCAGCCTGGTGCCTCAAGCTTCTCCCTGTGCACAGCTCCAGCTGGCGTGATTGGGTGATTGGCAGCATAAGAGGAAGGGGAGAGATGATGGAGGCTATGTCTGTCAGTGGCTACTGGCTATGATGACTAAAGGGAACCTCCACATTCAGGGGCAGTCAGCCTCTGAATCCCAGTCCCAGGAGGCAACATCGGGGAAGGTCCTGGCCTCTAGCCCCTGTTGTTGGACCTCCAGAGGAACGGCTTGGCCAGTGTGTGAGACAGGATGCCGAACAAGATGGGCCACTGGTCTGATCCAGCAGGGTGGTTTGTCTCATGTGCTTGTGTTTTTATTCACTGGGCCCCTGGGCTGGGCCCCAGAGCCACAAACGCACAGAGCAGATTTTCTATAACAGGAAGGAAATTAAAAAATGACAAAACAGGAAGGAGGGATGAAGAAAGTAAGGGGAAGAAAGGGGACAGAAATTTAGTTCCCACTGCACAGATTTTTTCCCTCCTCCACTGCACCAAATATGCCCAACTTTGTATTAGGAGAAACTCTGCCAGCCAGTCAAGTTGCTGACAACTAACATAAGCCGTTCTCACTGCTTCAGTAGCTCTTTTCTCTCCAGCCTGGACCATTTTATGTCTCATATTGTGTGCTGTGGCTGTCTCCTTCCTGTCCTCCAAGAAGCTCAGGGTGTGACTCGTTTCATCAGCATCATCGTTGTTGTTGCTGCTGTTGTTGTTATTATTCACTTCATTTATACTCTGCCTTTCTTCCCACCGGGAACCCAAAGCGTCTCTTCTCCTCCCATTTTATCCTTACAGCAACCCTGTGATGTAGGTTGGGCTGAGATCGTGTGACTGGCCCAGGGTCATCCAGCAAGAGCCAGTTTGGTGTAGTGGTTAAGTGCATGGACTGTAATCTGGGAGAACCGGGTTTGATTCCACACTCCTCCACTTGTACCTGCTGGATGACCTTGGGCAAGCCATAGAGCTGTTCTTGGGTGTCTGTCGTGGGGAGGGGAAGGGGAAGGAGTTTGTAAGCCGCTCTGAGACTCTGAGTGAAGGGCAGGGTATAAATCCAATCTCTTCTTCAAGATGCCATGCCAAAATGGGCTGGTTTACCATGGTTGGAACTGATAAACGGTTGTGGCGGCGATTGCCCTGCCACCGGAGGCTACAGCTTGGAGCCAGGAGTGAACTTATCAGACTGTATGCTAAGAAAATGGAAAATAAAACCAGACAATCAGCTCTTCATCATGGTTTGTCTGTTGTAGAGTCTGATGCACAAACCCCGGTTGGGACTGTAAACTATGGGTTATGTGGACCGTGGGTTAGAATGATGCCTGACGTGACCCTCTGCTTAACCCCTTACCTGGTTCAGATTTCCATTCTGTTTGGTGTAGTGGTTAAGTACGCGGACTCTAATCTGGGAGAACCGGGTTTGATTCCCCACTCCTCCACTTGCACCTGGCTGGATGACCTTGGGCAAGCCGTAGTTCTGATAAAAGCTGTCCTTGAAAAAGAGCAGTTTCTGTCAAGTGCTCTCTCAGCCCCACCTACCTCACAGGGTGTCTGTTGTGGGGAGGGGAAGGGAAAAGGAGTTTGTAAGCCACTCTGAGACTCCTCTGGGTAGTGAAGGGCGGGGTATAAATCCAATCTCTTCTTCTTCTTCGCAACAGCATCAACTAACTGGATGCTTTCTGTCTTTTCTCTTGCCAGACGGGGCTTCATCATGGGCATCTGGAATTCGCACACATCTGTAGGAAACATCCTGGGGTCCCTGATCGCAGGCGCTTTTGTTTCACAGGCATGGGGCCTGTCATTCATCGTTCCCGGAATCATCATTGCCACGATGGGAGTCATCTGCTTCTTGTTCCTCATTGAATGTGAGTGTTGCCGCTCGTGAGCCTGGGTACTCTGGCTGCAGTCCTAAACCTACTTCGGAAATGAATCCCACTGGGATCTGTGGACGATGCTTCTGACCCAAAGTAGTTCAGAAAACGGCTATCTATGGGGGCGTACTCAAGATCATTTAATGCAGAGAAGTTGTCTTTATAGGTACCAGGGGTCATTTCGTAGAAAAAGAGGTGCAGGAGCTCATTAGCATAACTCATTAGCATAACTCATTTGCAC